CAGTGTCTACCTCGCGAGAATCAAATTACGGGCTGCGCCCGTAAAAAAAGCATGTAAGAGCAGCTTAGAGGTGGACATGGTGCAGGGAACATGACAGCCTAGTCCTCTCAGCCATTCGCAGCCTGATTGCCCCACCAGGGGCCCAGCGGAGTGTCCGCTCTTCGTTGTATTCCCTTCCTTCCCACATCGATGCCTGCTTCTCCACTCCCTGTTTCTCCGTTCCTCAGTCGCCACCTATATCGCCGTCCTTGCCTCTCGCTCTGTGTCTCGTATCATTTACCGCTCTCTCGCCCTCTCTCTCTCCTTCCTCCTTCCTCTCGTTATCGTTCTCTATTTCTGTCTCTCTCCCATGTTTTGCCCCAACCATCTTGTGGTGCTGGGTCTTCGTTGTGAAGAGAGAGCGCCCCGCGTCTCCTCCTCTCCTTTCCTCCCCTCCTTCCTCCTACTTCTCCCTCCTCCTCCCATCCCTGCCCTTGCCCTCCGCACCAGTCAACCATGCCGGCACGCCCCTCACACGCTTCGTGGCCCCATAGAGAGCTCCACCGAAGGCCTCACTTGCGGAGTTCGCATTCGGCTCCCACCCCTCCCTTCCTTTTTGCAACTACTCAAGAAGATGTCTGGGGAGTAGCGCGACCCCTTTCCGCACATTTCCTCAAGCATTGTTTGCATTTCAGGGTTTTTACTTGCCTTCTAAGATAATTGAGCACGAGTGTTGGCCTTGTCAGCTCGTTGACGCCCGTCGCAGCCCGTCGCCGCCGTCCGTCGCCGCCCCAGTGTCGGTCCTGCTGGCTGGTTGTCGCCCGTCGCCGCCGTCCGCCGCCGCCTTTTGCACTCGTCCAGTCGCACCTGTCAACTCGTGGATCATTGGTTTGTGGGGCACCGTGGACGGAAAGGACGTGTTCGAACCGCTCGTCACACGCAGGACATTCTTTGAATTACCGTTCACGGTATTTGGCGCAGGGGCAACAGTTTTGGACAAGGCAATTGTTGAGGTGGCCACGTTGTTTTCGTTGACGCGGGGCGAAAAGTTGAAATTGTGGCTGCTTACGCCCAATCAAACAAGCGAAACAACATCATAATTTCGGGAGGCCTTGAGTTGTGGCCCCCCCCGTTTTTCTCGGCGGGGAACAAACTCGCCCCTCGTCCTCCTCCCCCTCCTCCTCCCCCTCCTCCTCCCCCTCCTTCTCCTCCTCCTGCTCATCCTCGTGGTCGTTATCGTAGTCGTCGTCGATGTCGTCGTCTTCGTCGTCGCGGCGGAGATGTTTATCCCTCTATTGGTGAGCGGGTTGAATAATGTTTGTTTTCGCCTAGGGGATCACTCTCCTTGGGCGATTCTGCACGGCAGAGACATGTTGAACACGTTTGTTTGATGATTGCAATACAGATCGACATTCTTCGCCGACGGCGTTGCTCACAGTCTCCTTTTTTATCTCGTCGTCGTCGTCGTTGTTGCGCGGCGGTTGCCGCGCCGCGGCGGTTGTCGCGATTCCTAATATTGGTGAGGCCCCAGTCCGATAAAATGATCGCCGAACATATAAGTTGCTTCCATGATCGGGGGAGTCTGAACACCTATCCCGGTTAGCGCCGTCCTTCGCCGCCACTTGTATTATTACAGTCGACATCGTCCACTCGCGCTTATTCGCTCGCAAAAGCATGGCAACCCATCCGCATACCACTATTACATTGATTCGGAGTGTCTCGCATTGCTTTTCAATTATTTTCATCGTGTGGCATTGATTTGCATCGCGTTTCATTTCTTGCATTGGTTGCGTCGTTCGTTTGCATGTTTGATTTCAGATGTAGTACTGTTGAATGGAATCGTATTGCATGTCTTTGCATATGTGTGTGCGCTGCTTTGCATCAACCTGCATTGGTTTACATTGCTGTGCATTGCGTTGCATTGTTTCGCATCGCTTTGGTTTGCTTTGCGTTGCTGTGCATCGCACTACATCGCTGTACATCGCCTTGCATAGCTTTGCGTCGCGTTGCAATCGCTGTGCGTTGCTCTGCTATGCCTTGCCTTGCGTTCCCTCAACATTGGTGTACATTGCGTTGCGTTGCGTCGCATCGACTCTCACTGGTTTGTGTTGGCTGGTGTTGCTCAACAATGCTTTGCGTTGCGTCGCATTCATTTGTAATTCTCTGCGCTACATGTATTGCACCACATGGATTGTACCACCTAGATGGCGTCGCAGTCATTGCACAACCTAGATTGCACCGCATAGACAGCACTGCATCACTGTTTGGCGTCCGCGCTCGCTAACATGCTTGTCGCACAGGACGGCGCCGAGTACGCTCCCAGTCCTTCCACTCTAGCATTCCCGTTGCAGCGCGTGGGCCTGCGGACGTTTTGTTTGGCTCTGAATTCCTCATCGTTATCGCCCTGTCCTCCTCTTCCCCTCTCGGTCATCCCCCCGTCCTCCTGCTCCTCCCGCTCATTTCGTTCCAGTTCCCGCTGCTGTTCGTCCTCGTCCTCTTTTTTCCTCATCCTCGTTTTCCTCCTGCTCAGCCTCCTGCTCATCCTCATGCGCCTCCTCCTCCTCCTCCTCCTCTTGCCCCTGTTGGTTCTGGGCACGGGGGTGGACTTGGGATGCCAGTCCACCCTGACAGATGCTCAGCCCCAACCCTTTTCCCCCCCCCGCTCGGGGGCGGCGGAGGGGAGGTGACGCTGTGGCTAGGTGTGCCCATCTGTGTACTTGTGCGTGTGTGCGTGCGTGCGTGGCCCCGCACGCGTGTCAGGCACCCCGCCTCAGGGGGAAGGAGCGCTGCGCACTCTTCTTCTGCGGCACAAGGCGCAGTTCTGCCTAGGCCCGCAGCAGGTTCGATCTGAGGTTTGGTGTCGTCCTGGCTGGCGGTGCTGGTGTCGCGCAGCCAGCCCTGGAACTCGGGCCTTGGGGTTCCGTCAGTCAGGCGATGCCAGCCGTCTTGTTCACTGTGCGTGCTGTTTGGCGATACCCTGTTGCACGGCCGTGGAGCGCGTGTTGGCGCCCTCCACGGTGACATGTGTCACAGGGGGAGCCCCCGTGGTTTCTGGGCACGGGGATGGACTTGGGTTGCCAGTCCGTCCCGACACATGCTCAGCCCCACCCCTCCCCCCGCGTTCGTGGGCGGCGGAGGTGAGGTGCCGCTGTTGCTAGGTGTGCAACGCCACACCAGGGCCCAACACATATTTCCAGCGTCGGCACCGTCCTGCCGTCTCAGCGCCCCCCCCCCCCGCGGCCGCTGTGGAGAACATCGGTGGCCCTGTGCCACGAGGTTTTAGGTTAGGGTCGGGTCGGCCAACCCTTCGCCTCCTCCCTCTTAGCCAACTGATTGTCGTCCTCCCCCTCCTCCTCTCTCCTCTCTTCTCTATCCTCTATCCTCCTCCTCCTCCTTCTCCTCCTCCTCCTCCTCCTGTGTTCGCTTCCGACCTTCTCTGATGGCGTGTCACGCGATGGGGTGGGTGCGAGAGGGTTGGAGTTTCAACCCCGCTACGGCACGCGTCCGCGGACAGAGCGCAGAGCGGTGCAGTGGGAAGGAAACGGCGGGAGGGGTAAGACGTGATATATGGAGCGAACGCACTTTGCTTGGCCAGCCCCCTCACCTTGCTCCTGTCCTTGTCTCCCCCCCTTCCCCTCTCCCATCCCCCCGCTTTCCTGTTACTGTCCTCCCTCGCTCCACCTTCTCCCTCAGTTTCAATTCGTGGGAGGGGTTTTCCTCAACTCAGGGGAAGTTCGATTCAGCATCGGCGCTGGATTTCACCTGTCGAAGCCATCCCGTGCAGGCCTATTCCTGTCTAGTCTGGCCCAGTCTGGTTTAATACAGTTTATAATTGGGGTCGACTGGCCTGCTCGATCGGGCCCACGACGATTTCCCAGGAATCGCCTCCTGTCCCATCCCCTTCCCCTCAGGCCCTCAGGGATCCCTCCCTGCCTCCCCAAGGCATCTCTCCCTGCCTCCCTGAGGCATCTCTCCCCCCTGGATCTCTCAGGCATCCTTCCTGCAGCTTGCGACCGCTATCTGACCCTACCACTGCGGGTCCACTCGGCGCTGGGGTATCGGACACCCCCGCTGGGCCTCGCCTTGCTGCGGACAATCAATTCTGAACCCTGGCTGGCGTCCCAGAAATCTAAGCGGCAGGGGCAGGGTTCACATGTGGTCGGGCGGGGCCAGGACATGGGATAAGTCGTTCCAGAGCGCTAAGGAGCGCTCTCAGAACGTGCTGGAACGCTATGAGAAGGCCGCGGCGCCCGATGTATCTTCCAGAACGGCTGGATCTCAGAGGACCCGGAGTTATGCTTGTCCGATGTTGTTCCTGTCTCGAATCGTGTCGACAGGCGGCGACCCCGGCGCTGGCGGTCAACGTTGAATTACGCCGGCGACCTTGTGTCGATCGATGCTGAACGATCTGACAGTTCGGCAACCGCTGATCGTTCAAGATTGAACGATCCCCTCGGTGTCAGAAGCCAACGCCGAAGTCGGCACGATACGAACCCGTGGTACTCAGGAATCCCTTCCTCAGACACCCAGTTCCGTCAGACACCGATGTCAGGTCGAACATTCAGGTTCGTCCTCCATCAGGCACCCAGCCGCCTCAGACACCACCTAGTTCCCTTAAACACCCAGATCCATCAGACATCCCTCCCTCACACGCTCAGCTCCCACAGACACCCAGCTCACCCAGTTCCCAACACGCCAACGCAGATGTCGGCATCCCTCCCTCTGACCCCCAGCTCCCCTCCCATGCCTTAGCGGGCGAAGAAGGGTCTAGAATCAATTGCGGGCTGCTGGAAAAATTACGCCCGGGCGTGCCACTGTCTGGGTACAGCTCCTCTGGCCGCCCTGGGACAGGCGTCCCCGACGGCGAAACAATTCATTCCATGCCGTTGTTGGCCCGCTAACTGCGGCATCCCCCCCCGCTCCCCCCCCCTCCTCCTTCTCCTCCTCCTCCTTCCTCCTCGCTCCTTCCTCCTCCGCGCTCCTCCTTCACCCCCCGCCCATGCCGCGGGAGAGTGGGGCAGGCGAACACCAGCGGTGCGTCTGCTCAGTCATGTGACGCGACCCCGGGGCGCGCCCTGGGCGGGAAGCGCGCCTCCCTCTCGGGGGCTGCATGGGGGTATGGTTACGCCGGGCAGACAGCAGATGTGAAAGTAGGTCGTTCTGGATTTCTAAGCCCCAGTCTACGTCAAGCTTCTTCCGACTCCAAGAGTGGATGTGTTCTTGCTGTGCTTTGTGGCTTTCTCTGGCAAAGCCTACACCCAATCTACCTTGGTCCGCCGTCCTACTGAATGTTCTTACCTATATCTATATATCTATACATAGAAATATATATATATGTATATATCACGACCGACTTGTACCATCCGACCTCTAGCACCATCCAACAATACCACCCAACACCATCAAACACCATCCAAGATCCAACACCATCCAGCTCTTCGGATGTTGCGTTGGTTACGCCAATACCATGCATTACCAGCAACCATATTCACAAGCATCATGTGCCTGTGCACCCACCAGGACATTTACGCATGTATGCATATAAATATGTATGTATGTATGTATGGATGCATGTATGTATGTATGTTTGTGTGTTTGTGTGTATATGTATGTATATATGTATGCATGGATGCATGTATGTATGTATGTATGCATGTATGTATGGATGCATTTGTTTGTATGTATGTATGCATGTATGTGTAGATGTATGTATATATATGTATGTATGTATGTATGTATGTATGTATGTATGTATGTATGTATGTATGTATGTGTGTTTGTGTGTATGTATGTTTGTATGTATACATGTGTGTATGTGTATGTGGTTGTGTATGTATGTGTGTATGTTTGCATATGTGTTTGTATGTATGTATGTTTGTATGCATGTATGTATGTATGTGTGTATGTATGCATATTTATATGTATGCGCGAACGTACGTACATACGTACGTACGCGCGCACGCACGCACGCGCGTACGTATGTATGTATGTATGATTGCCTACACGCAGACATGCACGTGCATGCATGCATGCATGGCCGCATGCAGATTTGCCAGTATGCATGCGTGTATGTATGAATGCATGCATGTATGTATGTGTATGCATGCATGCATGTGTGCCTGTACGTGTGTAAGCCTGACTGCGTGCATGCATGTTGGCATGCATGTATGCACATATATGTATATATATATACATTTATATTTATATACATACATATACATATATATATATATATATATATCAGTGACAAGGGGGGCGAGCGGTCAGTCAGTGTCCCTGGGTGCATAGCTGAAAAAGGTAATCGGTAGTGAAGATCCAATTATTGTTGCGTTGTTGTTGATGTTGTTGTTGAAGTCGCACTACTGAGTAATAATTATTGTTGACCCCCCTCTCCGGTAACAATTGTATTTCTTAAATTGCAGTGTTCTTCCCGGGGCTCGCACCCTGTCTTTTATCAAGAAAAGTCACTAGGCTCAAAGTGGCCCCCTGGCCCCCGGTTTACAGCAGCAGCCGCTCCCGCGTGATACTGCCTCACAATGTATTCCCAAGTTTGCGGGACTTTCTTCATAATTTGTATACGAATCACGTTCTCGCGTGGGACTTCCTCGCATATTGTTCAGACGATGCACCCTCGGTGCTCAGGAATCACGCTCTCGCTGTGGCTCTTCACGATTTACTTGGCGCTTCCTTTCGCTTTGGCGCAATCGCTCGAGACTTCCTCGCGATTCATGCAGGACCCACGCTTCAGCAACCCGCCTGCTCGACCTGGTCGCTTGGGCCCGCCTTCCCGACCTGCCCGCTATGGGTATGCCCACCCGATCTGCCGACCAATTGTTTTCGGTTCCTTGCCCCCTCTCGTGCTAATTTCTCTCGTGATCCATGATTCTCCCTTCCCCTTCCACCCGTCTTCTCTTCCTTTGTTTTTGTGGTGGCACGAAATGCATTTGGCAAGTAAGAAAGATATACTCCCAAGGGGGTATTATCAAAGACGACGAGGGCGGGTACCGAGGGTTTGGGATCGTACTGGTTGGCTCGTGAGCAGATTTGAGCAAACAGTCTTAAAATAGTGTTGTTGTTGATGATGTGGTTGCTGTTGGTGTTGTTGTTGATAGTGTTGTCCGTTGTTGAGTTCTCACTTCTGAAGAATAATTATTGTTGATCCCCCCGTCCAGTGCACATTGTTTTTTGGTCGATTGGAGTGCCCTTCCTGGGGCTCGCACGCTGTGTTGTATCAGGGATAGTCTTGAGGGTCAAACTGCGTTGTTGGCCCTCGGTTTATAACAACAGCGGCTCCCGCCTGATTCTTCTTAGAATGTATTGAAGAATCGCGCTCTCGCTTGGGAGTTCTTTGCAATTTACCACCAGCTCGCGGCTCCCGTTTTATACTTCTTCACAATTCTTTACGCTTCGCGTATCCCCACCAGCCCATCTCACAACAGCAACTCTTGCGAAGCATGCCGACAGTCGTGTTTTGCAGGCGTGTGTCCGCTTGGCCCCGCATATCTCCCCCTGATATTCCTTCCTCCCGCCTCCTTGTACATCCTCCTTGTGGGGGGAGCGGAAGAAGGACGAGGCGGAGGAGGAGGGAGAGAAAGCGCTCCTCGTGGTTTGAGTCGTTTGGGCTTTCTCGTCCTGGTGTGAGTCGTTCGGGCCCTTCTTCCTGGTGTGAGTCGTTCGGGCTCTTCGTGGTGTGAGTCGTTCGGGCTCTTCGTCCTGGTGTGAGTCGTTCGGGCTTCTCGTGGTGTGAGTTGTTCGGGCCCCTCGTCCTGGTGTGAGTCGTTCGGGCCCCTCCTCCTGGTGTGACTCGTTCGGGCTCCTCGTGGTGTGAGTCGTTCGGGGCCCTCGTCGTGGTGTGAGTCGTTCGGGCTCCTCGTGGTGTGAGTCGTTCGGGCGCCTCGTCCTGGTGTGAGTCGTTCGGGCCCCTCCTGGTGGTGTGAGTCGTTCGGGCTCTTCGTGGTGTGAGTCGTTCGGGCCCCTCGTCCTGGTGTGAGTCGTTCGGGCTCCTCGTGGGGCCTCTTGGGGGCCTCTTGGAGCTCTTGGGGCCTCTTGGGGGCCTCTTGGGGGCCTCTTGGGGGCCTCTTGGGGGCCTCTTGGGGCCTCTTGGGGCCTCTTGGGGGCCTCTTGGGGGCCTCTTGGGGGCCTCTTGGGGCCTCTTGGGGCCCTCTTGGGGGCCTCTTGGAGGCCTCTTGGGGGCCTCCTGGGGGCCTCTTGGGGCAATCTTGGGGCCTCTTGCGACCTCCTCAGAAACGCAAATGAGCGCTGCCCCCTGAGAAGGACAAAATGATCCCAAAACCTTCGTACAATCAATGATTTTGAGAACAAGGAGCAGCACCGCTGGCCCCTCAGACGGCCAAAATGGGGCCAAAACCGTAGTAAAATCAAAGATTTTGGCTTCAGAGAAGAGGAGAGCATTTTTTCTCGGCCCCCCCGACGGGGCCAGAATCCTCGTGAGGGTCGTCGTTTTTTGGCCCTCCCAGGAGTCGAAATTGACCCCCCTGACGACCCGCGGCCCGCCCTCTCCAGGCCCAGGGGGAGGGGGTAGGGGGAGGGGTAAACCCCTCCCCGAAGGGGAAGAAGGGGGGTTGAGGACAGAGCGGGCTCTCTAAACCACTCACGCCCAAAAGGGCTGGTGGGATTAACTGAAGAATCGCGTTCTCACTTGGGGTTTCCGCGCTCCGGTCGACACGGTTGCAGTTCTCACCAACCTTCCGCCCCATTCTCCCAGCATCCCGCCTCTTTTTCAAGGTTTCACGAAATTTGATTCTGACACCAGTTCTCAGCTGTACATCCCCCCGTGGGGGTATCCATGATATGTTTTTTTCAAGGGGGTGGTATGTGGCGCTGTTGATGGCGCGACCCATGGCGAAACTTATTGTTAAGCTGTGTCGGAGTGGCTGGCGCAAGCCGTGGCGCAAGCTGAACCGCCATTCGCAGCGCCAAACATCGTCCTTCCTCCCTGTTGCCGTTCCCCTCCGTTTTTCCGATCCCTTCGTCCTCGTTCTCCCCCGTTATCATTTACCTTTCGTTTTCAAGGGTTTCGCCAACCACGCGTGACAGGGAATGAATATTCCCCCCAAAAGGGGGCACGATCGAATACGAGAAGGGCGGGTACCCAGGGTTCTGGATACGCGTATTGATTGACATCCGAGCAGATAAGAGCGAACAGTCTTAAATTGACTGTCGTTGTTGTTGTTGTTGATGTTGTTGTTGTTGTTGTTGTTGTTGTTGCTGTTGCTGTTGTTGTTGTTGTTTGTTGTCGTCGCCCCCCGCGCGACGCCCGCGACCCGCCCGGCGACCCACCCCGCGACCCGACGGCGACCCACTCGAGATCCAACCCGCGACCCACCCGCGACCAACCCCGCGACCCACCCGCGACCCACCCGCGACCCACCCCGCGACTCGCCTCGCGGCCCACCCTGCGACCCATCCGCGACCCATCCGCGACCCACCCGCGTCAACCCCGCGACCCACCCGCGACCCCCCCCGCGACCCACCCTCAAGGGAAAAACTACCATCCGGGCCCGACAGTTGCAGTTTTTAAAAGGGCCTTGGGCGTTTACTAAACATCCCTGCCCTGTTCGATTTATCCCATGTGTGCGTTTACTAGACGGTTTTGCCTGTCGGGGTGATTATTATGGGATGGATTTTCCGCCCTCTACACCCGCGACCCAGCATCGACCCACCCGCGACACACCCGCGACCGACCCACATTGGTTTGACGCAAAAAACGGTGCCTGCGGCGGGTTCGTGGTATAATTTGCGAAATGGATAAGGCCTCCGCCGGCGCCAAAATTTTACACATTCCCTAATCAATGTGTGCACTGAAAGGGGCCCTAGCGGAATTTGAAAGATTTAGCAAAAGTTTCCCGCCGATTTTGGTAGCAGGCTGGGTTCCCGGTTTCCTGGTTCCGGTATCCCGGGTTCCCTGTTACTGGTTCCGGTCCGATTTCAGTGGGTTCTGGGCTCACCGGCCCCCAGTTTCCCTGTTTTCGACACAGAAAGATATGCGGGTTAAGCTGAAGTTTTGGTAGATGATCTCAAGTTGGCTTTGCACTT